CCTTTATAAAATCTCATTTATTTCCAATCTTTACAGGATTACACTCTACCTGGAAATTGATGAATCAATATAATGATCCATTAGATATAAAGATATTTTACCAAATGTATTTAAATACTATTTTCTAAATTTTATTTCCTCTTCAAAACAAAAGAGAATTTTTGCTATAACAAGGTGTCTTTGGAAACTAACATAAAGACTGCTTCCTATTCAAGAGATAATTATCAAAGATTGCATTCTGAAAGAGAAAAAAATCAAGTTATCTGTAATGCTTTGGAGGGGGATAGAAAGAATGGAGAGAGAGATTCTGGAAAAAGTAAGAAGATACTATTGAGCTTCAATTATGATATATTGCTAAAACAAGGCCACAACTATAAATCTAAATGGCAAATACATGAAAATGGAGTGTTCAACATGTATGGCAAAATGCTAAACCTTCCCTGTAACACTTAACTTCTAGAACATTGGTCTTCTTCACTTTGTATTTTACTGCATGACCAAACTTTTCTTAGTCTCACCTCTTAAGAATTAGCTGCAAGGATGGGTGTGGCAAGAGACCATGTGCAACCTCATAAAAACAGCCCAATTTTAAACTGCTGCCAGACATGCATGTTTTATGAGTAAGACCTCAGATAATCCTTTGATTAAGAAGCTTCTTGATTCTAAGTGCAAAATGTTGCCAGGCAGAGGAGACTTAAGTTCCAAGTATGCGACTGTATTCTATTAGATCACTACCAGGAATAAGTCCAGTCTCTCCTTGTGTGTATATCTGTCTCTATCACTCTAACATTTATTTATTTATTTGTTTGAAGGTCAACATTACAGAAAAGGAGACAAAGAGGGAAACTTTCCATCAGCAGTTTCATTCCCCAAATGGCCCCAGTGCCTATAGCTGAGTCAGGCTGTAGAAGAGCTTCATCTAGATCTTCCATGTGGGTAGACAGGTTCTTGTTTTCCCAGGATACTAGCAGGAAACTGAGTCAAAAGCAAAGCAGCTGGGACTCAAACAAGTACCCGTATGGGATGCTGGCATCAAAGGCAGTAACCTTTCCCACTACACCACTTTGGCCCCCAGGAATAAGTTTCTAAATTGTAATTACAGTGAGTGAAAATCTTATTTCAACTATTTTCTCTGATAAGAATTTTTTATTTATTTATTTGACTTTTATTGGAAAGGTGGATATACAGAGAGGAGAGACAGAGAGGAAGATCTTCCGTCTGATGTTTCACTCCCCAAGCTGCCGCAACGGCTGGAGCTGAGCCAATCTGAAGCCAGGAGCCTCTTCCGAGTCTCCCACGTGGGTGCAGGGTCCCAACACTTGGGCCATCGCTCTGTTGCCTTCCCAAGCCACAAGCAGGGAGCTGGATGGGAAGCTGGGCTGCCGGGATTAGAACCGGCGCCCATATGGGATCCCGGGTGTGTAAGGCGAGGACCTTAACCACTACACCATCGCACTGGGCCCTCTGATGGGTCCTCTGATAAGAATTTTTATCTCAATAACCATTCATTCATGGCTTGCATTTATGAGGCATTATCTTCATGGTATGTACGATAAAATGTACAGTTAATAAACCAACTCCATATTTAGACTTGGATCCTTCTCCCAAAATAATTCATTATATACAAGAAAATATTCCAATATTTGGGAAACTTCAAAATTGTAATTACTTCTTGTAGCAACAAATCTGGGTAAGGGACACACAATCTATACTAACACTTTCCTTCTGTTAAATAAACTAAAAGTTTGTGTTGTCCCTCACCCCCTACAAAAAATATTCATTTGTCAACACCCCCAATATGATGGTATTTGCAGAGGGACCTTGGAGACAGTTGGGGCTGGATGAGGTCAAAAAGGTGAGACTCTCATAGCAGGGCTTGGAGGGACACCACAGAGCAAGCACATTTACTCAGGCACTCTCACATTCTCTCCCTGGTTCTGTCTTCTATCTCTTACTGCTTCCCATTCCCTTCTCTCTTAAACACAGCAAGAATGCAACTATCTGTAATCCACGAAGAGAACTCTCATAAAAAAATCAGCTAACACTGGCACCCCGATATCAGACTTCCAATCCCCCAGGACTATGAGAAAATCAAGTTTTGTTATTTAAATTACACAGTCTACAGTTATTTTGTTAAGGCAGCCCAGACACACTAAAGCAGCTCAAAAGATGTGGCTTACTTTCTTGCACATGATACCATCAATAGGAATCTCTTTATCATACTATGACAGAAGTTGGGAAAAAAATTGTAGGGTAACTCAAAATTCTCTTGCTGAATCATTTGCCACAGTAATCTACAAAAGTTCTAAGTAAGAAAAATAGCACAGTTGAGTTTTATTAAAATTACCAATCAAAAAATGCATCCACACATGTCTAAAGGACTCTAAAATGCACAGAACACAAACATGGGGAAATGGAATAAATATTGACTGCACTGGGCAGAGACTTAGCAAAAGCAGTCAATATAAAACAAACACTTGGTTTCCTTTTAAAATAAGCAATGTTAACCAATCAAGACAAGCAGCTCCAAAAATGGCTCTGATTGTTGAAAAGAATTTGTAACTATATTTGTGGTAAGTACCTAGCTAACAAATTCTACCCCAAGAGAAGACATCTCAACACAAAGGGCTCGTAATGTGAGCCCCCTCCACTGAAACTAAATGTCACAGTGTTTGCAAGCTCTTGAGTCCTTTTTAACTTATGCAACTGCAGTCTAAAGCAGTCTATTCACACAGGCGCTAAAATATTTGTATTGTCAAAGAGATTGATGTTAGCACACTAACTCTATTCTGATCAACTCATCTTTCTGATGAACAATTTTTGGATCCATGGCTCACTTCCTCCCAAAAAAAGGTATTTGAAGAGTTCTCAGGGGAGAAACCACACCTTACTGCCCAATTACCACTTAAACTCTTTCTATTATAGTCAAATCAACAGCATGAATCAACTAGTCATGTTCCTATCACTGGTAAGAAAAAATATTAGCACACTATTTCTAGTCAGATTCCCAAATTGCTAATTTTCATCCAAAGCAATTAGCAAACTTCTGCATACGTACCGCAGGCCTAGGAAACCAGTTAAGGGGGATGAAATATAACACTTCAAAGGCTATTGGAAAATAACAGAGCTATAATGCTAATGTTAATATTCCTCAGGAAAGGATAAGCTATAGGAAACTATTCAAATAGAACAGAGAGCTGGAGTCCTGAGGAAGTTTGGTTTTTTTAAAATTATTTTTCATGATACAGTTCCTCAGGCTCAGGGATTTCCCCCTCCATCTCCTCCTCTTCACTTTTTCCCCTTATACTGTAACAATAGTTTAGTCCCTGGCCTGGCGTGGTGGCCTAGCAGCTAAAGTCCTCACCTTGAATGCGCCAGTTCTAATCCCAGCAGCCCCACTTCCCATCCAGCTCCCTGCTTGTGGCCTGGGAAAGCAGTCAAGGACGGCCCAAAGCTTTAGGACCCTGCACCCGTGTAGGATACCCGGGAGAAGTTCCTGGATGCTGGCTTTGGATCGGCATAGCATCAGCCGTTGCGGCATCTTGGGGAGTGAATCATAAGACGGAAGATCTTCCTCTCTGTCTCTCCTCCTCTCTGTATATCTGACTTTCCAATAAATAAATAAATATTTAAAAAACAAACAAACAAAAAACCAATAGTTTAGTCCGTAAAGTCCAACATTCTCTTTAAGTGTATCCTAACACTGTAGGTACAGAGAAGTCCAACATTATAGTGCCGAGATCTATTTAACAGTTTGAGAGTCCATCTTTTATTCAGAAGTAGACGTGCATACTGCAAAGTTATTTTTATATGGAGTTAAAATATTTTGGAGGGAAGAGAAAGCATAATCATGATGCACAAGGTATAGTACACATTTCCTGTTGACTTACTGTAAAAAGTTTAACTCCAGAGAAAAAGCACATGCACCAAAATCCAAGCAAAAGGCTATGAGTATGTGTCTAACACAGAAGCATTAACTGTTTTTAAATCAGAGAATTTTAATAAAAACCGTTACTGGTATTATAGCCTCAAGTGCCAGTAGATGTAAACTGTCAAATGTCTTAAAAATGGTAACAGGGACTTCCATCTTTTTTTCTTCTGTTTATGGAGAAAGGAACCTCCCCTGCCTGGGGCAAACTTCCACCTGATAAGACTTGGCTTTCTTTGAAACTATCTTTTTAATTTAAGTGAAAGTAACTCACTGCTTATTAGAGGTTATTTTGTGTCTTGATTCCAAGCAATGCCTATCTTATTCATTTTTCTTAAAAATTTTATTAGAAGGGAAGAGGACTGGTAAAACAGCAAATGGAAAAGAGAAATGTGTACAAACTTCATAAACATTGTTGACTTTAACTTTAGTGATACAGGATACAGTTTACAGTACAGGATACAGGATACAGTTTGAAAATAATCCATTTCAAAAGATGACTATTTGGGTTAAACTTGCTCCTTGTGAAGAGTATTTCTAATAGGTGCCATTCTGAAATGGTCCCATTCAAAAGAAGTTTCAGGGAAACTTCTGAAAAGTGGATACAAATGTTTCAAGCAGTAAAGTAAAATACTTACATATTTTTGCTATTGTGGATAAAGTATACAACAAAAACTTTTCCAGCTGATGAGGCAATTAAAAATAAATAAACAAGCAAAATAAAAATTCCAAAGAACTGCTAATATATCTGCATTACACCAGAACAGACGGGAAGAAGATACTAAGTATTCAAAAGCCCATTCATGTTTGGAAGAACCTGACCAAATCTATTGGAACAACACTTTCCTAGCATAAACAAGATGGGTAATGTGGCCTATTCTTAATCTACAATGTTAGTTTCTAGCAACCTTAAGCTTCCACATCACAGCCACACCCCAGGCTCCCTTTCCCTGCAGTAGATCATGCCATGCAGAGCACACACAAGAGACTGTAGTTATTTAAAAAAAAAAAAAATCAAACAGCATGAAGCAAGCTCCAAAGGTGCAAGGCTGTATTAGCTACATCAGCTTACCATAAATCTCGGATCTACTCTCCTCTGAACTAGACTTTGTCTTCTTGGAGGAGCTATCTGCACAAGAGCGGGAAAAAAGGAGAGAGATATAGAAAATATGGAGACCAATGTAAGGGGGAAATTCATGGGGGGAAAAAAGGATGGATCATGATCAAGTTAAATCGTGCAAACACAAAGTATGAACATCACAGATGATAGCACTTAGAACAGTCATGAATACAGCACAGGTAATGACATATTGTAAAGATTTATTGAAGAAAAGATAGCGTAATAAAAAATACATACAAACAATCTATGAATTGTCAACAAAAACTGTCTACTCTATCTGATCACTGTAGAGATGAACAAAGCACTGAAAGCTGTAATAAACTCATGATGACCTACTGCATAACCTTTTACTAAATCTGTCTTTGGAGGTGGGCACATCATAGAAGAGCAATAATACAGAGTAAACATGACAACAATGATATTTCAATGAACGGGGGGCAGAAATGTGACCATACTAGCAAGATAATCACAAATCATATGAATGACAGGCTATGAGCCCCCATGGCTTCAAAATTAGGTGTTAGAAATAGAGAATTCTTTCTTTACAGTATTTACAAGTTATCTACTACATACTCTCACCACCAATGTCTCATAAAATGATTGGCACTTCATCTCATCTGTCACCCAAAATGCAAATAATTAACCATACATTCCCGAGAACTCTCTTTCTTGATAGTGTTAATATTTTTTTTTTCAAAATTGAGGGCAACTTTATCAAATATTATAGATACATAAGATATGTTACCCTCAATTAAATAGTCAAAAATAGCCTGCTAAATTAAAATACATGAATTAATTTATGTATCTGAGATGATGGTAGTTATTTTTGTCATAGGGACATATAACTGAATATGAATTAAAATTGAATAAAGCAATATGTACATCAAGAACATATATGAGCTTCAAAAAACAAAAGCAAGCTTATTAAGTAATTTTTTTTAAGTCAAATGCTGGGTTTGCAGGAGGCAGCAATATAGAAAAATTCATGTTTTACAGGAGGTCAATGCATATACATAAAAAATTAAGACTATTCATCATTAAAAGTCCATCAACATGAAAATTCTAAGAAAAAAATTAATACTACTGAGGTTGAAACAGTTCTGAGCTCATAACAATTAGAAAAAAGACTTCTACACATTTGCTTACCCTAAGATGTGACAACATAAATTCTCAAAATTGCATTTTATCCAACACTCCAATTCATAATATACACAAATCAGTTTTTAAATCACAAAATAACTATATACATGTTCTTAAAGACTCTGACATACTACTGCTCATGTTATAATTTATCTCTAAGTCCTTGGTCTGACATATAGTAGTTATAACTATAACTGTGATTAAGATTTCAAAATGTAATTCACTCTAAATGATGCTTCTAGAGTAGGATCTGTAAATGTCAAATTGTAAATATGTTTGTGTTGCTGCCAAAGCCAAAGGCTATTTTATACGAGTAAGTGGAGGGGACACAGAGTCCTAAGGCTGACCAAACTATGCCGCGCCAACCTTTCTGGTGACTCACGCTATAGTTTTCTGAACCCAGCTATTTTCAATGCTCTGTCAAAGAACAAACAAAATTTTACCTGTTGGATCAAAATCATGTGATGCACTGCGTTCGACTTTCTGCTTCTTATCTGTGGGTGACTCTCGATTCAGAATACTTCCATGCCTAAATTTAACCAAAGCAATCTAAGTTTACTACAAAATAATTATTAAGTTGAAAAGCTTAATTTTGAAATCCCAAAACTGTGTCCTATAATTAGAAATCAGGACACCTTATACAGTATCATGAAGCTAACTTACTTTCCAGGAAGTTTTAAAATTCAAACTGTGATATCTATATGTGATACACAGTCTCCTTACCTCATAAAAAATGCTTAAGATAATAGTATTAAACTCTATTTTGTTCTTAGGAATAACTGATTACAGTTTTTTCCAACAGGTAAATCATTATTATTTCCATTTAATGCATTAAAAACAACAGTGTCGGGCCCGGCGCGGTGGCGCAGTGGTTAAGGTCCTCGCCTTGCACGCCCGGGATCCCATATGGGCACCGGTTCTAATCCCGGCAGCCCCGCTTCCCATCCAGCTCCCTGCCTGTGGCCTGGGAAAGCAGTCGAGGACAGCCCAAAGCTTTGGGACCCTGCACCCACGTCGGAGACCCGGAAGAGGCTCCTGGCTCCGGACCGGCATAGCATCGGTCATTGCGCTCACTTAGGGAGTGAATCATTGGACGGAAGATCTTCCTCTCTGTCTCTCCTCTCTGTATATCCGTCTTTCCAATAAAAAAAAATAATAAAAATAAATCTTAAAAAAAAAACAACAGTGTCAAAAAAGAATTAAACACATTCCCCAACCCATAGAACTATGGTCAAGTTCTAAATCACTGCATTAGTATGCTTCAGAACAGTTAAAAAAAAAAACAGGGCCCAGTGCAGTAGCCTTTTGGATAAAATCCTCGCTTTGCATGCACCAGGACCCCACATGGGTGCCAGTTCATAGCCCAGCTGCTCCACTTCCCTTCCAGCTCCCTGCCGTGGCCTGGGAAAGCAGAAAAGGACAGCCCAAAACCTTGGGACCAAGCACCCATGTGGGAGACACAGAAGCAGCTCTGGCTCCTAACTTTGGATCGGCTCAGCTTCGGGGAGTAAACCACTGGATGGAAGAGCTTTCTCTCTCGTCTCTCTTTCTCTCTGTAAATCTACCTTTCCAATAAAAATAAATAAATCTTAAAAAAAAAAAAAAGACAATCAACCTTTAAAATAACTTTTTATCTGAATATGTAATTTTAGCCAGCCACCTCTAAGTTTAGATGAGAGCAGGATTTTTCCCCCCTATGGCCTAATCCTCTACTGGATACACATCTTGGCGAAAAATAAAATTGTAACACAGATATTACCAAAAAATAAAAATGTCTATGCTAGCACTGGTATTCTGGATAATGCTGGAATAATAAAAGCATTTGATATGTGTGAGCATTTATGACAAGAAAAAGACACTGAAGCATAAAACTAAGGAAAATATCTTTAATCTCACAAAATGAGCAAGTATATATGTAGATGTAGACATACACATTATTTAAGCAGTTTAAATTATTTTCTATCTTTACATATTTATGATTAATGGTAGTTTCAGTCATGCAAGTGACAAAATACATCAAAAACTAACAATCTATTTTCACTTCCCAACCTGTTTACAACAGTTAAAAATAGGTTTTATAATTAATCTTTTCTCAGGGAGTGATCTTAAGCATGAATTTGAACTCTTAAAATGTTAATTTTAAAACCAATGAAAACATTATCAAAATAATGCTATAGTCTAGAAGAAATATGTAACACCTGTATGCTTTAAAACTGAGATACTTTCAAATTCTGAACTACTATGTTCTGAAATCTATGTTCTCAAAAGGCACAAAACCTTCAATAATTTCAAAGAAATACTTATCCTTAAAATTTAGCCTGAACTTTAGTATAAAATTAAATTGAACAACTTACCTTATAGGTTTTTTGAGGGGAAACCTGAAACAAAAATAAGAAGGAATAAGTGTAGTTATTTTACTTTAAGATACTGTTGTTATATTATTCTACAAAGCCAAAACTAAGGATTTAAATCTTACGTTATCTTTCCCAAAACAAGATTCAAGAAACACGAACAATCACTTTTTTTTTTTGCAATAACTTAGCTATTTTCTTTAATTTTAAATTTCAGCTAAATTTACCCTGAGTTTGGCTCTTTTTTAAAAACCTTTCACATGTATTTTTTTCATTTAACCTTTAAATAAAAACTTCAAGAAGAGCTGTTATTTAATCTTTAAAGATTTTTTAAACTAAAGCAAAAGGAAATATTTTATCACTGAAATATTACACTGAAGTTTCCACAGCATGGAACATTCTTTCTTGTCCATCACCTACTGCCAATTCACAAAGTACCTCACTACTGATTACTGCATTTTTGATATCTACCTACTTTTGAATCAAATAAAATAATTTCAAACATTAATCTAAGCTTTAATAACAGAAGAAAAAATACTTTTGAGGAACTATCAATTACTAAAAACACATTGCAAAAGTAGAAAACAAAACGTACATTCATTTCATTTTACTATGGTTCTATAAAGTGGAAGAATCACAGCATTTCCTCCTCATCTTTCTTTCCAAGGAGACATACTCTAGTTAAGAATGCAAGAAGGGACAAGTGTGATGGCTCAACTGGCTATCACCCCCTTGGAAGCACCAGGACCCCATATGAGCGCTGGTTAGTGGCTGCTCCACTTCCCATCCAGCTCCCAGCTTGCAGTCTGGGGAAGCAGTGAAGGGCAGCCTAAAGTCTTGAAACCCTGCACCCCCTAGGGAGACCCAGAGAAGGATGCTTCAGGCTCCTGGCTTCAAATTGGCTCAGTTCTGACCACTGTGGACATTGAAGTAGTGAGTAAGCAGACAGAGGATCTCTTTCTGTCTCTCCTTCTCTTTGTATATCTGCCTTTCAATTAAAATAAATCTCAAAAAAAAAATCCAGGAAGTTCATAAACTGTAATTGTAAGCCCATTTCCTGAGCTTCTTTCGCTTCTATGGGTCTGGAAAAGTCAGAAAAAGATGAAAAATCTGAAACAAGATGAAAGCCAAGAATCATCACTTTAAATGTATTTTTTAAAACAAATACTTATATGTGTGCACACATATAATATCAAGAACTTTCCTATTTCAGTAGTTCATGCTGCTTTAGCTAGGAGATTCACCACAATAATACTAGTTTTTAATATCCCTATTATGTACTGAATACTGAAATGCAGATTAATCAAAGAGCTGGAAATAGGAAAATAGAATCCTATCTGCAGATAAGTCATCAACCTACTGGTAGTCTATTTTCAGATGTTTGACAAAGTTAAACCACCACTATGAAAAACCATAATATGTCCAGGCACGGTGGCCTAGTGGCTAAAGTCCTCGCCTTGAAAGCGCCAGGATCCCATATGGGCACCGGTTCTAATCCCGGCAGTTCCACTTTCCATTCAGCTCCCTGCTTGTGGCCTGGGAAAGCAGTCGAGGGCGGACCCTGCACCCACGTGAGAGACCTGGAAGAGCTCCTGGCTCCTGGCTTTGGATTGGCTCAGAACCAGCTGTTGCCGTCTCTTGAGGAGTGAATCATCGGATGGAAGATCTTCCTCTCTGTATATCTGATTTTGCAATAAAAATAAATAAATCTTAAAAAGAAAAACCATAATAAACAAAGGCTTATCAGAAATCGGAGTCACTGAGATGACAAGACTAGATGCCCTTCTTTATTTCCTAAATGAAACAGAAGTAAATTCCAGAAATCCAAATCAAAAGCTCAAGCAGGGTCTGGCACAGGAGCCTAGTCGCTAAAGTCCTCACTTTGCAAGCACCAGGATCCCATAATGGCACCAGTTCCTGTTCCAGCTGCTCCATTTCTCATCTAGCTCCCCGCCTATGGCCTGGGAAAGCAGTCGAGAACAGCCCAAAGCCTTAGGACACTGCATCCACGTGGGAGACTTGGAAGAAGATCCTGACTTCAGATCATCTCAGTTCTGGCCATTGTGGCCACTTGGGGAGTGAACCAGTGGATGGGAGATCTTTCTCTCTCGTCTCTCCTTCTCTCTGTAAATTGCCTTTCCAATAAAAATAAATAAATCTTAAAAGAAAAAGACCCAAACATCCATATTTAACTGCCTCACAATATCTTTTCCTTGTCAGTTCAAATAATGTTATTAAGGCTTAAGTTTGTAACATACAGAGACTTCCTCAATTTTTCTGTTTTCACACCTCTCCCAATGCTGCTACACTGTAGAGGAGAATGTGACTTGATAATTAAATACTAAAATAAAACTTTATCTTGGTCAGGTTTAACTAATAAGATTACCACAAAGAATTTCTTCTAGATTTAAAAAATGCAAATGACAGAGTGGTGCCATGGCAGTGTAGGCTGAGCCTTCATCTGGGGTGGCAACATCCCATATGGAGGCTGGTTCCTGCCCCGATTGTTAGACTTCCAAACCAACTCCCTGTTTATGGCCTGGGAAAGCACCTTTGTGGGACACCCTGAGGAAACTCCTAGGTGGCTCCAGATCAGCTCAACTTTAGTCATATGAGACCACTTGGGGAGATGGCCAGAAGATGGAGGATTTCTTTGTCTCCTCTCTGTAATTCTGCCTTACAAATAGAGATAAATATGTTTTCAAAAAATGCAAATTATGACCAAAGTTTTGTGATATTAGCTGTTCACTTACAACAAAAAGTTCACAGGAAAAAAAGTTATATTTTTATTTTACTGATTAGTGAGAAAACACTAGTCATGACAATATTCAGGGACAAATGTTTTGCAATCATATGAAGGATACAGGATATCACATTCAAATCTTAATTACTGGGACAGGTTTTAGGTACAGTGACCAAGTCCCATTTTGAACATTCACATCCCATGACCTAATGCCTGGTTCCAGTCTCAATTTTGCTTCCCATTTCAACTTCCTGCTAAAAACACATGTAGAAAACAGCAAATGATAACTGTTTGGCCCCCTGTCACCCATATGGGGGATCCAATGGAGTTCCAAGATCCTACTGTTACCAAGCATTTAGAGGATAGGTCAGCAGATGGATAATCTCAATATGTTTCTGATCTCCTCTCCTTTCTTCTCTCTCTCCCTCAATTTCAGATATATAAGAAATTTTTAAAAACTTTAATTACTATACATCTCCCCCCTCCACTTTCGGGAATCAGGTATCTTTTTTCTTCCCTAGGTTTAGTAATAATAAGAAGTCTGAGACTCTAGATGGTATTTATTTCTTAGTAAGGGATGGCTGAAATGAAGGGAAAGAAGTTACAAGAAACATCAACTACAAAAGACAGCAGTCAAGATTTTTATTAGCAGTCAAACAATAAGAGCAGGTAAATTAATTACTACCAAGAATTCCATTTGGAAAGTGTATCTTGATTTTAGCAATGCTATAATGTGGAGTTAGGACATAATGGGACTCCATCATCTTGGAATTCAAGAAACGGAGTTATCATTTTATGTAATGGACCCTAGTGACAAACTACTAACAAAGAACTCTCCAAATAACAATTAAAGATACTCACTGCTTTATAAATTGTTGATAAATAACAGAAATGGGAATGGTATAATGGAAATAGCTTCAATGATTACTAATAAAAATTCCAAGTAATTTCAAGTCCTTGAGGGAAGGGAACTCCTCAGGCAAAATAAAAAACAAAGCAAAACCAAGTTCACAATTTAATACATCCCTGAACTTGGGTAAGTTACTCTACCTCTTGAAGTGCTCACATTCTATAAAACAGACATCTTGGGATGAGCGTGGCAGCTCAACAGACTAATCCCCTTCCTTGCAGTGCTGGCATCCCATACTGGCACTGACTCATATCCTGGTTGCTCCAATTCTGATCCAGTTCCCTGCTTAAGACCTAGGAAAGCAGCAGAGGATGGCTCAAATCCTCAGGCTCCTGCACCCTCATGGGAGATCTGGAAGAAGCTCCTGGCTGTCAGTTCACCTCTGGCTGTTTTGTTTTATCTTTTGGGGAATGAACCCGAGAATAGGAGAGTTCTCTCTCATTCTCTCTCCCTCTCCTGCAATCTTTGCAACCTACTAAATACCAGTACCACTTAACTATTATTGCCTATTAGATAAAAAACAAATAAACCTGAACATTAGAGGCACAAATTTTATCTAAACAGGAAAAAAAAAATGCAGAGACTAACAACCTTCATGAGTTAGGCATTCAATGTAGAGATGAAGACAGACAAATCTCACAGTAGGGTGTCTGGGCTCAACTTTCAACTCCACTATGAATTCTGGCTGCCTGCTAACAAAGACCCTGGAAGGCAGCAGGTAGCTGCATACCTGCCACCCCAAATGGAAGACCTGAGTAATGCCCTGGCTTTGGGGTTTGGCCTAATCTGATCCCAGCTGTTGCAGGCATCTGAGGAGTTATTTCTCTTTCTGTTTCTCTACCTCTGAAACAATTAAGTAAATAAATTTTTAAAGCGGTTGGTGTGGTGACTCAACATACTAATCCTCCACTTGCAGTGTCAGCATCCCTAGGATACTGGTTCTAGTCAGTGTTGGCACCACTTCCAGTTCGGCTCCTTGTTTATGGACTGGGAAAGTAGCAGAAGGTGGCTCAAGTCCTTATGCCTCTGTACCCATGCGGGAGACCCAGAAGAATTTCCTGGCTTCTGATTTTGGCTCAACTCCAGCCTTTGAAGCCAGTTGGGGAGTGAACCAGGATCGAAAAATCCTTTGTCTCTCCTTCTGTCTGTAAATTTGCCTTTCAAATAAATAAATCTTTAAAAAAAATTTTTTTAAGGACAGTAATGTTCAGAGTAAAGTTTTTAAAATGTTATTGAGAGGCATACACAGATACAGAGAAAGGGAGCTCCCACCCACTGGCTCACTTTCCATATACTCATAATGGCGAGGGCTGGGCCCAAGGCCAAAACCAAGAGTCAAGAACTCAATCCACAGCTGTCAGACAGGTGCAGGAG